TTCGCTAAACATATATATCAGAAGGGTTTTTGTGGATATTATAGTAATTTCAATGGTTGAGATCATGAATCCTAGAAGCTGGACCACCCTGGAAATCCTGGGATCACTGGATAGCCGTTTCGTCCTATTGTGGAACTCCTCGGCAGTACGCACCCACGATTCCGCCTCGCGAAATTCGAACCCAGGACATATTTGTCTCGCACGCGAACGCTTAACCACTAGACCATATACAAGTGTTTATATAGAGCCATGATGGGAAACCAATTGAAAGAAATTATTCTCCACTTCATTCGTCATCTTCTCACTATGTCTTATCCTAGAAAAGATTAATTTTCTAGTAATTTTAAACATTCACAACATCATCATACAACGGTATTCCTGCTGATGAAAGTCATTCATTTAGGAATTTCGTGTAAAAACTCAAAATTACTCTCCGCAATTTTGACAGACTCATTACTCACTTGTAAAGAATTTGTAAATGATCCATCGATCATATAGACACATTCTTCATCGGAATCATTATGAGCGATGTCAGACAGTGATTGTTGTCAAAAATTGGTAGCCATTCTCATTCAACAGACGAGTTTTATCAAACTATCTGTTAATCGATTGGATTGTACGACAAACATGGAAAATAACCAGTGAACTTTTCCCATTTGTTAAGGTAAAAGGATTGAAAAGGGATATGGTAGGCCGTAGTGAAAAATTAGTAATTTTCTCATTTTTTTATTATTCAGGACTGGAATTGATCAATCTGTAGATGAATATGTTCATCTTGGATGAATTACTTGGATATTACCATTTAGTCACAAGTTGGTTTATATTTCGTCTTATTCGGGATGAATCGATTAGGTGTATAAAAATGTCAATGTGGATGTTTACACCAAAGTTCGAAACCAGTATCTTTAACTTTAAATACTAACGTGTTGCCTACTGAATTAATGAATCCAGATAGTTAATAATATGTTCAACAAGTGTGAAGATATTATTAAGAACTTGTTATTCTGAACTGTAAATGATCAATCTAACATTATATAAGAAATTGTAATGAAGTTACAACATCAAGGCATTCTACTCACAATCCTCATATATGTCAATGGGGACTGAACAATTATCGTAAAGAAACGATGAATTAGTGATCTGTACTTTTATTATAGATTGATTATTGTTATTTAATGATCGATAATTGGAAGTCATACTATATAAGACTATTCCTCAAACAACGACATTAACTATTTTAAAAAATGAAGAAGCTCTGGAGATAACTATGGTTCTAGTTTAAAACTTTCCTGAAGTGAGCGTGTGCAAACTTATGAAGGATTGAACTTAATAACCTAAACTATCATGATCTATTCAATATTTTTTGGTCGGAATTTAGTGGTAACTATTTTCCACTTCAATCAGTTGACGTTACAGTGTGATAATTACATAAAATTAATGAATCAGTTATTGCTTGACTATCAACATCGTCGAATTCCACCAGTCATAACTTAAAATTGAGAATCGATAGAACTCGTTGATAAGGAATACAAAAACTGACATCGAATTAAACCTATCTTCATACACTATCAGCATAAACAATAAACTCAATCGTCTGGAGGTCAAGAGTACTCCGGAAGGCCATAAGGTTTTGAGTTCGATCCCAGATGGGATACTATAATACTTAATTTGCAAAATGTTCAATGATTGTCTTGAACTTCGTTGTTCTTGCATTTCCATACTAATTGATTGCTATTCCCATCTTCTGCTGCCAGACATTACATTCCTGACTCGCGTCATATACTACTTATATCAATATAAGTAGCACGCACCACAATACTACCAGGACGCCTAGACCGAGACAGGTGGTTTTCCTAGGGGGCAACTCCACGAGCCTTTGGCCTACAGGTTTAATCCACAAGGCAGTGGGGCAACGTCAGGAGATGCAGTTTCATGGTAGTCGGTGACGAGAAATAGATTCATGCACCTTGTGTTCTTTCAGGATACTGGAGCCCATGTGCATCATTGGTTTGAAATTAGGGTGTTCCGACTCCCCTAGATGGAGTCTCCGTGGGAGAGCTGACTCACTCCACTCTCGGTCGTACCAGGGCAATTCGGGATAAATTCAGACTGTGCTCAAAAATCCTAAAATAAATAATAAATGAATGAACACTAGTCTTGGAATAGTAGTGAAAATCCTTCATCGATGTAATTTAATTCATTCGCGAATGAAATAGTAAGCATCGATAGCATTGAATAGTAATTGTGTTATATTGTAGGTCGCCTGAATTTCAATATGTAAGCTGTTAAATGCTTATTCACTGGTTTATAGATATCACACATGAGGAAACTTTAGTCGCCTTAACAAAATTAATTGTCCCATCATAACAGTAAGACTTGATTATTTGAAGAACGAATATCATATATTAGTGACTTGACCTGATCTGATGGAGACGTAAAGGCATGAATCTGAACAGCAAACACAGCATTCCTACAAGTGAACAACATCTTCAAGTCAAAATAACTCTCAGCCAAAAATCAAGTATTGTATAGAGCTGAAATCACACAACTACCACATCCATCATCAGAAAGATACAGGTGTTTATAGACATCTGTCTACACAACATATTCCAGATCCATTCACCGGATACCATCACCAATGACCTATTGTGGGAGAGAACAAACTCGATTTCCACCTGAAGAAGAAATCGGGAAAAAACAATGGAGGTGAATAGGAAACATATTGAGGAAAACAACAAACTGCATCACGAGTCAAGCACTAACTTGAAATCTTGAAGGGAAACGGAAAAGGGGAACACTAAAGAGCACACTACGCCGAGGATTGGAAACATATCAGAAGGATGAATAGAAACTGGACACAAGTGGGAGGGATTCTCCAGAACATAGCTTTATGGAGAATGTTGATGGGCGACCGATTCTCCACGAGTAATAAGCGTAAGTTATAATAGCAAGTTGCACATGCTTTTTATGTTTGACTGCATCATGGTTGCTTACGTTTATTTCTTTCATCTATATATCGAACTCGCATGAATTTAGGACTATTTTTTCACCAGAGGACTAAACAACTCTATTTATAAGAAAAAGAGACTTCAGCGAAAAAAAATTTCTTTTCGACGAAATCCTAAATAGACGGATTTCGAAATCATTGAACAAAACTTTCCGCGCAGTTAAGCTTCGAATCATCTTCTCTAGCCAAACTACCATTCTGAGGTGTGTTAAGGACAAACTTTCGCTTTGGGCCACTTCAATGTGTATTCATAAATTTACTTGCTCATGTGGGACATATTACATAGGCCGCACAAAGTGATCATTATCCAAACGCATCTCGGAACATTACCCGGCCTGGCTCTTGAAAAAGGAACGAAAAACAATCACTAGTTCGATACAGTAGCACTTAATCAACTGTGGGCATATCGCTCCAAAAGACTCTTCGTTTAAGATAGTTTACAGTCAAAGGAATTGGACCGAAGGGGGTTCGAATCAATATTTTATGCACCGCAGAGGCATTGGCAATCCACAAACTAAAGCCTGAACTTTGCGTACAGAAACGATTTGTTCAACCTCTCATCCTTCCCTGGCCCTAATTCCCTTAATGGACATGCATTTTCCATATAACTATAAATACGAATGTACAGCTTAAGTAAATGATTTCGTTGAAATGGAAATTTTCTTCGCTCAATTCTCTTTTTCTTATTCAACTCTATTTATGTTACTCGCTAAATCAATTTTGTAGAACATTCTATTTATTTATAAAATTTACTACGTTTCTAGAAGATTTGAAGACCACGAAATGAAATGAATCCACTTCATCTCACAATATTCCCTGTTGTTGTTACTCCACAAACATTTATAGAAGGAATTAATTGTATGAAACAATTTCCAGTCATCAGGTATATTTAATTTTGAAATGTAAGAGGTGATAAATGAAATCCTTTAGTAACCTGAAAACTTATCATCACTCTGAGATTCGACAGATGAAATAGACCAACCCCAATATCTTTGGATCATCTAAAGGTTCCGAGATTTTTGAGAAAACATTCAGCTGTGTTGAATTACCACTTTGTATTACTCTTCAATACTGAATACAATCAGCTAAACATTTCACTAAGAAAGCTCAGACAACAATCAAATACTGATAACATGGATCTCGGCTGTAAAACTATAATTTAGTTTACCAAGAATGAAAGGATAAGCTGATGATACTTTTGGCAATTTAACTATATAAGTCGTTAATGGAAAATTTCGATTTATAAAGTTGCCAAACCTACTTAACAGCCTGAATTACCATGTACATGAAATCCTTATTGAAGAGCATCTGACTTACCAAATAACATTAAATTTCTAAGGACAGATTAAGGCAGATAGAGCATAGCACATCAAGGTCCTGTCGATGACTACGTTTTCATCGCGTTACCGTTAAGTCATTACAAATCGTGAAGATAAAAACGATATACTTCGACTGGCTTGAACTACACGGGCGACATGCATTTTGATGCAATCAAAATAAATTTAAGTGATGCTGAATGTGTACTATTGGGAAGAATCAATCAGAATTTTTAAAAAAGCCAGTTAGACTACTACGTGAAATCATATCAAACGATCTGTAAAATGCCTTTATACATTGATCACGAAGTTGAAAACGATGACCCTAAATTATGCTTTTCCATGACAGAATAGAAGTAATAAGCTTGAACGTATGAACTGCTTAATTCTCGCTATTTAGATTGCCTATGACAAAATTGAACATTACCTTTACATCATAACACAAACACTTGATTCCTAACCCTAAGAATAAAATATGAAATCCTCAGTCCTAAACAAGAGCAATCCAGTGAATATTTATAAGCCTTTTTATAAGGGTTCGAGAAGATGAATGTAGAATATTTCTATGAACTAATCAACAGGAGGTCGCTTTCGCAATTGACAGATAGGTAAATCTTCAATAGATTGATAAATCTTGTAAAACTTCTTTCTACTTGGTCATATGATTACTGACTTCTTCACAAACTATACATAAACAAAATCTGTATTCCTATTTGTATTAAACACATAAGACTTTGATAAAATTGAAATGCTTTTTTTAAATGATGTACAAACCATTCAAAGTCCGAAAGTTTATGATCAACAACTACGGAAGGGGAAGTAGGAGGTATAAAGTACCGTAAAATCATCTGTTGAGCGTCTAAATTGACACCATATTCATTCCAACATTCTCTCAAAAGTTCTTCATTTTGTGGATTATTTTCTGCAATCTTGCATCTACTTCTAAGTACATCCAATAAATGACTTCCACTTGGCATATACAACTCTGTATAAATCGTCTCCAGTATCTTCTTCCAGTTCTTACTATAATCAACATAGTGTTGCTCTCGAGTTCTGCCACTCATCTTCAACTGCGGATAATCAAACAGTTCACTATTCGGCTCAAAAACACTCAAATAGGTGACCAATCGACCAAATATACTGCTCATCTTGTCACTGACTGACGGCCGAGAAGATTTCGTCAAATACTCACAGTCAGTGTGATAATAAAATGGATCACTGGATATTTGACGGTACAGCTTCCGCAACTCAATCAATTCATTCAAATCTTCGAAAAACACTATACACACAGATCGCACCATTCGACTGGCGATCTGATGTGCGATTCGTGTACGGATAAACCTAGCTGTCAAGTCCTCGAAACACTGACTGATATCGAGTTTCAAAGGACGCACCAAACCAACATTATTTATAGGTCTGATTGGGTGTTCCAAATCACGATACTTCGTCGCCATGTGAAACACATACAGTTTCGAGACCCAATAACCAGTAATACACATCGCTTCAATTTTATCATGTTCGTCTGTTAACCCATACCTATCCATTAGATCACTTCTCAGTATCGCACTTGCATAACTGTCTCTCAACAACCCACACGGAGCGAATCTGTTTTCCTGAAAATAATTAACAACAGCAGCAATCATCACTCGAATACATGCATCTATCATTTCAACATCGATCACATCCATCATTTCACAACTTCTGGCAAGATTGTCAACGGTCCAACAGCCATAGTACCAGGCACCATCTTGACGATTCTCCACTACTCTGTCAGGTGTGGAGATATTTTCGACAGATGCCTCTCCATCAGAAGTAGTTCGTTCATCTGAATCGCATGACTCAGGCACTTCTGCAAGTAGTCCAGCGAGAATCGCAGCACTGGCAGCATTCGCCAGCCATTTTCGAAGGGGTTTGGAAACCGATTCACCAACATTTTTGTAGATGTATGCAGAGGCCGTTGCGGCAAACTTCACCCAGTCATTCTTAACAGGTATGGAATCGTCCTTGTTAGATTCAGGCATCATATTCTTGTCAAGCATCAGCATGAATCGAGTGTCTAGATCGTATGTTGCAGTGACAGGTGACATAAAGTTGAAGTTCGCATCTACTTGTCGTAAATGGTCAATTAGAATGCATCCCAAATCATCAGCCAAATTCGATAGTGAGTCCTTTACATCTTCAGTTGCTGCAGCCAAATTCTAAAAAGAAACTTTAAAAAATCCTCATTAGGAATAAAGAGCGAATTGTTAGCATTACATTAAGAGATACACAGTTCTTTTTTATTTCATATTTCACAATCATTTATCGGTAACTATTCGACAGATTTACAATCCTGAACTAAGTACTAGCAAAATCGAAATTTCAGCAACTAAGTGGGGAGATTTTTTGAATATATAATTGTATATCTATCATAATATCCTTTTTCCAACATTTAAAGAAACAAATTCATTACAACCTAAATTATTAAAGTCCTATGGGATCTAGGATAACTCCTCCTGTAGCCCCATAGGGCTACTGCTGATCCCATGCCCGGATGAAGGAAGAGGATTGGGCAAAAGGCTAGCGACCCCATCCCATAGAAAACTAATTCGCTAAAAAACGCTAACCAGAAAAAAAATAATTCAAACCATCTAAACTCTGCCCTGGGAGTCAGAAGTCTTCATTTAGAAGAGTTATGACGCCTCATAGTGAAAGTCGAGTTCCTTCGGAAGTCACGAGGCTGATGCCCTTTCTGACAACCAGAGCAACAATTTATTTAGGTACATGGAATACTCGTACAATGTCTTACAAATTGCTGCAGAAATGAGGAGACACAACCTGGAGGTGCTTGGGGTAAGTGAAACACATTAGACGCAGGTTGGAGAACAACGAATAGCTTCAAGGGAGCTTCTGCTATACTCCGGCCATGATGAAGAAAATGCCCCACATACACAAGGAGTTGCAATTGATGCCGTCTAAACAAGCACAAAATGCACTTATAGGATGGGAATCTCATGGACCAAGGATCATCAAAGGCTCATTCAAAACAAAGAAAGAGGGCATTCAGTCAGTCAGTTACAACGTAGGACCAGGCACATATGTGCATCGGTCCAGGTTGCCATACCGCATCAGCACAACAAGATGAACACCGGATTCATAACAGTGGTTAGGTAAAAGGTGGTAATATATAAGAGAAAGATTGCATATAGAGATATAGTACAAGAAGAAAGAATTGGTTCGTAGAAAGAAAGATATGAATCGATTTTAATCTCTTAGTTTAAGGGAAGACAGGGAGTGTATACACCGACGCCATTGTGATCGATTCTGAGCCATGTCACCAAGAGTCTCCAACCATTGGTTACGCAAGTCACGCGGACCCCAACCAAGTAGTCTGCATCTACCAACATGGCTCAGACTAGAGGTTAGTGACTTCAAGCACTGATGCCACGTTTTGGTTTGGCCGCCCCTAACTTTCTTCCGACCATTTCCAATTCCGGATAGCATTGCACGTCGTGGTAATCGGTGTTCAGGCATACGTAACACGTGGCCCAACCATCTCAGTCGATGAAGATTCATAACCTCATCAACTAATTTACTATCATTTCCTAATACCCTGCGTCTAACCTCACTATTACTTACCCGATTATCCCAGCAGACGCCAGCAATATTTCTAAGGCATCTGTGGTCAAATACTAGTAGCTTACGAATGTCTTCTACCCTTAAAGGCCATGTTTCGCTGCCGTAAATTAAAACAGAACGGACTGCCGCGCAGTATACTCGTCCTTTTATTGATAGACGGATATCTCGCCTTCGCCACAGGTGACGTAAGTTGGCAAAAGCCAAACGAGCTTTTCGAATCCGTGCTGAGATTTCGTCCGATACCAACCCATTAGGGCTGATCAGACTTCCAAGATAAGTGAAGTTGTCAACGCGTTCGACTACTTCACGGAATGAGTCGATAGTTGTCCCTATCTTTAAAAAGGGTTCACGTCGTTCCTGTAACAACTATCGGGGAATAAGTCTACTTCCGATTGCGTCCAAGCTATTGGCTTCCGTCATACTTCGTAGGTTGTTCAAAACTCGGCAAAGATTGACTCGCGAGGAGCAGGCTGGGTTTCGTTCTGGTCGAGGATGTATTGATCATATCTTCACCCTCCGCCAAATGTTAGAACATCGCCATACTTATCAAAGGCCAACAATCGTAGTGTTTCTTGACATCAGGGCTGCCTTCGATTCGTTGGACAGGACTGTTCTCTGGGATTGTCTATTGAAGAAGGGTGTGCCTGAGAAGTTTATTAACATCCTAAAAGCCTTATATAAAAACACCTCAGGCAGAGTGAGGGCATACAACCACCTCTCTCCATTGTTCCATTCGAGTAGTGGGGTTACGCAGGGTTGCCCAATCTCACCATTCCTTTTCAACTTTGCCATCGATGACATTCTGGAAACAGCTCTGATGAATGTAAGTAATGGTGGTGTGGATCTGTTGCCTGGAGAAAGACTTCTCGACCTTGAGTATGCGGACGATATTGTCTTACTGTGCGATAATACCCAAGGCATGCAATCCGCACTTAATCATTTGGCAATCAGTGTCCGTAGGTATGGTATGTGTTTTGCACCTTCGAAGTGCAAAGTACTTCTACAAGACTGGCAGGATTCCAATCCTGTACTCACCCTGGATGGTGAGCAGATAGAAGTAGTCGAGAAGTTCGTGTATCTGGGTAGTTGCATAAGTGCTGGTGGGGGTGTGAGTGATGAGATCAATGCACGTATAGTGAAAGCCAGAGTGGCTTATGCCAATCTGGGCCATCTTTGGCGCCTTCGTGATGTTAGTCTGGCTGTAAAAGGTCGGATCTACAACGCGTCGGTGAGAGCAGTTTTGCTCTATGCTTGTGAAACCTGGCCTCTCCGAGTTGAGGACGTTAGATGACTCTCTGTGTTCGATCATCGTTGTCTCCGAAGGATTGCTGACATCCAGTGGCAACACCATGTCAGTAATGCAGAGGTTCGGCATCATGTGTTTGGGCACAGAGATGATAATTCAATTGGTGTCACCATCTTGAAACACCGACTTCGGTGGCTTGGACATGTTCTACGAATGTCGTCCCAGAGAATTCCACGTCGTGCATTATTTGCCGACTCTGGGACTGGTTGGAAAAAGCGGAGAGGTGGTCAGTGCATGACATGGTGTCGTGGTATGAAAGAAAGCTGCAAAGGACTGGCTTGTGTTGGTCCTTCACGACTCCCTGGTTGGGGTCTGAGAGATGGTGCTACACAGTGGCTAGAGACGTTATCAGATATGGCTCAGAATAGAAGCCAGTGGCGATCCTGCTGTAACCTTCTTTTACTTTCTTCATAAAAAGTGGTTGTGTCTCCCTTACTTGAAAGATTTCTTCTGATGGTACTTTTCCGTTCCATTGTTACGACCACACTAAATTACACCAATCTCTTCGTTATCGTTCTCTTTTGTGCTCCTTGGTTTTTTTTTTTTCTATCTCTTCGAAGTCACATTGTTTTGTGTGGCGCATATATATTGGCGCTCTCTTGTACCAATATTTATGTGTTAAAATAAATAAATAAATAACTTCACTCCCTATCCTTAGTTCAGGTGTTAACGCAGACCAATCCTGAAGCAACAACTTGCATTTAGAGGGAGAGAAGCGCATTCCAAACATCCTGGCGTTGTTGCTCAGTGCTACCAGAAGACTCTGCATTTTGTCAGCGTCTTCACCAAACAGGACTATGTCATCTGCGTATTCTAAGTCGATAAGTGGACCTCCTGGATGGAGATTAATACCCGAGAACTCAGTCGACGAGAAAGTTATTTCCATTAGTAGGTCTATGATGAAGTTAAACAAAAAAGGGGAAAGTGGACATCCTTGACGGACACCACTTGAGGTTACAAAAGTAGATGACAGTTCGCCATAAGCTCTCACTCGACTAGTAGTGTTCGAGTAAAGAGCCTTCACAAGGTTTATGTACTTCTGAGGTACGCCTTTCAATGACAGACACTGCCACAGAACCTCGCGGTCTACCGAGTCAAATGCTGCTTTTAAGTCAAGAAAGACCACCATCGTCGGACGCCGATAAGTATGCCTATGTTCTAGAACCTGACGAATGGTGAATATGTGGTCGATGCAGCCACGACCAGGTCTGAAGCCAGCTTGATTCTCTCGTGTTTGCAGTTCACGAGTCTTAGTTAGGCGTCTGATAATTATCGAGGCTAGTATTTTAGATATTATATTAGTTAAACTAATCCCTCTGTGGTTGTCACATTACAATGAACGTCATCCAATGCTATGCGCCTACCGACGAATACACTGAAGACGTTAAAGATCAATTCTACGATAGGCTGCAGTCAATCATCGAGAAGTGCTGAACAAATAACTCGACTATTCTGATGGGAGACCTAAATACCAAGGTTGGAATGGAAAACACCGAATATGAAGACATCATGGGACGACCAACAGGCTGGATTCCGTAAGGATCGATCGTGTACAGAGCAAATCTCAACTCTACAGATCATTGTGGAACAGTCAATTGAATGAAATTCATCACTCTACATTAACTAGATTGACAATGAGAAAGTATTTGATAGCATGGATAGAACAACATTAAGGAGGCTTCTTCGACACTACGGCATGCCTCAGAAGATTGTCAATACCATACGGAACTCCTATGATGGATTAAACAGCAAAATCGTGCATGCAGAACAACCCACAGATTTATTCGAAGTAAACATCGGTGTCAGGCAAGGTCGCTTACTCTCACCCATACTCTTCCCCCTGGTGATCGACTGGATCATGAAGACGTCAACACCTGTGGGGAAGCATGGGATACAGTGGATGCAGTTGGACGATCCAGATGATCTGGCTCTTCTATCGCAAACACGACGACAAATTCAGGAGAAGACGACCAGTGTAACAGCAGCAGTAGGTCTCAACAAACACAAGGGGAAAAGCAAGATTCGCTGACACAACACAGCATGCAACAACCGAATCACACTTGACGAAAAAGCTTTGGAAGATCTAAAAACCTTTATATATCTGAGCAGCATCATTGATGAACATGGTGGATCTGATGCAGTTGTGAAGGCACGGATCGGCAAAGCACGAGCAGCATATCTACAACTGAAGAACATCTCGAACTCAAAACAACTGTCTGTCAACCAACACCACGGTCAGAATTTTCAATACAGATGTCAAGACAGTTCTACTGTATGGGGCGGAAACTTGGAGAACTACGAAAGCCATCATCCAGAAGATACAAGTGTTTATTAACAGTTGTCTACGCAAAATACTTCGGATCCGTTGGCCAGACACTATCAAGGCCAAAGGAAAAGAGGAAGACCAAAGAACACATCACGCCGAGAAATGCAGACAGACGTGAGAAGAATGAATAACAATAGGATAGAACTAGAAAAGAAGACCCAGGACAGTGGTTTAAAGAATGCTGATCGGCGACCTATGCTTCACTGAAAATAACAGGCGTAAGTAAGGAATCAAGAATCGATGTAAAAACTTAATTGCGCGAATGCAACCAAAAGTTCAAGGGCAAAATGACAACTACACCAAATTCAAATATTGAGTACAAAATACATTTTAGGACTTAGCTCATCTAAATGAATTTCACAACAATAGCTTATAGTAAGTTAGATAGGTCAAACTTCTCCTGCAACACCAACTACCTAGATGGTCGAGTAACAAAGAGCTTTCAAAAATAAAAACAATAGTTATATCTCACCATATAAGTAACATCAATATCCTTAACTCTGTAGATATAGATATATATATTTATACGATTCAGTGCGAAAAGACTGATGTTTTTTCCCCATCGATTATAAATAATCAAGAGGATGTTAAGTGGTAAACTTTATAAATCAAGTTAAATGTGGAATGATAATTATTAAATCATTTATCAAGCACACAACTCAGGCGTGTCAAGTCTAAAAATATCCACATTATGCAACATGCAAGTTTTATTGGTGGGAATATACCCCATTCTCGTTCACTATTTTCATATTAGACCAAGCGACTAACTGAGATGAACTGGGAATTATGATTTACACTGTCTTAATCTACAATGGAGATCGTGTTTCGTTATCTGTAATTTTTGATGGCTTATATGGAAAATGGAACTTTTAACACGAAAATACCACACCCCATGCTACAGACGTGTCAAGTAGAAGGCAGTCAGCCGTTATGAAAGAAAAATCACAAAATGGCAAAAGGCATACCATAAATAATTCTATAACAGAAATTATCCAGAATATCTACAATTGAATGACCAAATAAACGAAAACATACCACAATTATTGCTTACGATACACATCTAGTTCTATTTGGTGAAGACGCTGACAAAATGCAGTCTTCTGACCACTATAAGCAACAATGCAAGTATGTCTGGCATGCGCTTCTTCCCCTTAAAATGCAAAATGTTGCTTCAGGATTGGGTTACATCGACACCGGAACTAGTGATAGGGAGTGAAGTAGTTGAGCGTGTCGACCGCTTCACTTATCTGGGAAGTCTCATCAGCCCTTGTGGTCTGGTGTGTGACGAAATCTCAGCACGGATACAGAAGGCTCGACTCGCTTTTGCCAACTTGCGTCATTTATGGCGTAGGCGAGATATCCGTCTATCAACCAAAGGACGTGTTTACTGCGCAGCAGTACGTCCTGTCCTACTTTATGGCAGTGAAACATGGCCGGTAAGACTAGAGGATATTCGTAGGTTACTAGTATTCGATCATAGGTGTCTTCGAAACATTGCTCGTATATCATGGAACCATCGAGTAAGTAACATAGTTGTTAGGAAACGGGTACTAGGTAAGGATGGAAAATCGATTGATGAAGTAGTGAAACTTCATCAGTTGAGATGGCTGGGACACGTGTTACGTATGCCCAACGACCGACTGCCTCGACGTGCGATGTTCAGTGGTATAGAAGTAGATTGGAAGAAAGCTAGGGGCGGCCAGATCAAAACATGGCATAAGTCCATGAAGTCACTGACAAGTGGTCTGAGTCATGTTGATAGGTGCAGACTACGTAGTTGGGAATCGCGAGATGATAGCAACCGATGGTTAGAGACCCTGAATGACATGGCTCAAAATCGTTTGCAATGGCGCAGGTGCATCCACTCTTTGTGTTCTCCCAAATTCTAATCTTCTGAATTCTTCATGTCCTCTTCCTAAATTATTTCACTGTATTATACTCCTTGAATAACATCTTCAAACCCTAATCTTTCGGATTACTGTTTATACTCTTACTACCTCTAGCCCTATGGGATTTGAATCGACAGCTGCATATGTGTGCTAATGTGTTGTGGCAACTCGAACTGATGTACGTCCGTACGAAGTTCTACGTTGTTACTGACTGACCTAGGCCACTTGAATAGGTGAAGTTTATCCCCAGCCACTTATATACTCAAATATCACTTACAGTATCCAATTAACCAATTTGTCATTTCGATTAACCTTAATCCAAGTAAAACTGATGACAGCGTTTTACTCCCATAAGATCTACTGTCCGAAATTGATTGACATTCTCAATGATGATTACTGCCTTATATCTCTAAACAGACTAGTCGACCAAAGAATTAATACGTTCAGTTGAGCTCATCTAGTTCTACCTTCCTTAGGTTGCACTATTTCGGGAACTCTTAATTAGCAAACTAGTTTGAACACTTCTAATGATAGTTATAGATCTAGCTAGAGAGGAATAAAAAAGACAATTTATGGAAGGTTAACTTACTGAATTAATGTCGATCATTCAGTGAAGCAGCTATTTATAACTCTGAAGTGAATCAATTTCATAGTCCAATCAATATCACCTAACTTGTTCACTGAAATTTTTCGGATAACCGATCAACAAACTGTATGACCAATTATTCACTTACGAAATGTCAATAGCTTGACTATTTACAGTAATGATTGGTTAACTAGTGTGAAGGTCACTCGAACAACATGGTCACAGAAACATTGAGGACCAATAGTAGTAATGCAAATCTGTCTGATGACGATTAAGTCATTGAAAGCATAGTCTCAGTAATTCCTAATTTGCCCTAACAATCTTCAAGCCATTTCTCACCCACTGGGAACAGGGAACAAATAAGTCAAAGGTATGGACAGGAATAGTGAAACCTGACTCAGTTTAGTGGTTTTAGAGGTTAGTTAGTTAAGTCATTAGAACTACCTAGGATGATAGAAAATGGAGGGTAAAAGCATACTATAACAACGACCTTGAGCGACTGGTCAATTAATCGAGGTGTTTAGTTGCAAAACAATTAACCATAAAATGTAAACAAACTAACAGTGGTTTGGTAGTTTCGACACTAATAATCACCCATAAATGTTGAATTATTCCATGTAGTGGAGGAACCTGGTTAATTTCATTCTTCTTAAGAATCAAAGATCATAGTAGCATACAAGTTATCCTTCGCTGTAATTTCAACGAGATGTAAAATCCTTGGAGTGCTTCTCACTTCTGAGTGGTTCACTCAAGGCCCTCATTCAAACACACTTACCAAACTCACCTCAAATGGCTGCAATCTAAAGTTGTCTGGAAGTAATTCGATATGTTTCGATCTTCAATATATAAAGACACATACTAAAACTAGATTTCAGCGGCAACCCACAGAAAACCAATCAAATTTAAGGAGGGGCCTGTGATATTTTGTGCAAGATTCAGTGAAGGATAGCTTGTAACTTAATTAGAGTTAAGTGAACAATACCTATATCTGTTCTCAATACGTCGGACGCACTTGACGTGATTGGAAGCATAGATAAGGATATTAACGAAACCAATATGTACATCTACTCCAAAAACAACTCACATATCTAACTCTCATAAGCCGAATAACAAAATTTAACACAATGACACTATAATTATAGCTGCTTTTAGTTTGTAATGAAAAATAACTTAACCTTGAATCGAGATAATTTCCTGGACCTAATCCTTTACCGCTCATTAATTATATAGAAACGATACATCACTAGTAATTTGTTATTTTTCATAATACATTACATTGTAACTTTACTCTGTTTACTGATTGATAAGTCTCTCAAAATCGACCCGATGATACATTTTTACTGCATATCATTGAATATTGTAAAAGATCCCACATTTATGGCAATCGACATGTTACCTTATAGATAAGTCACTGTGGTGATGAAGTAAATTGATTTTCTAACACCCGATATATTAATGAGCCATCAGAATACAGTTATAGTTCACTTAATCTAAGATGCACACACTGATTATAACACGTTCGATTAGACTGACAATATGTGTTCTAACCTAACCTAACATAGTAAATTGTTACGGTAATGACGAACGAAACACAGTTACAAGGAAAACAGAGATCACATATTAACAGATGGACGAGAAAGAATAATGAGTAAAATGTTTTAGTCTGATCGCCACCGACTTTCTTCCAACACACACTTACACCAGTTAACACAGCAAGTTGAATCAACTACAACCACTTCTCCTAGAAACTTATGTCTCACTGTGTTGAAAGAATATCTTGGCGTGACACTTGGTTTATGATGACAAATCATAATAATAATAGTTATTATCATTATGATTATTTGAAGAAAACCCAACTCTTCACATACATTCTAATCCACTTGAAACTACCTCAGAAAAAAGTTCACTGATTTGTATGGCATGATAAGTTATCCACTAAATTAATCCAATTGTCTAACAGCATAAATCGAAATGTGAAATAAAGAAGATTTTGTCTTTAAGATCAACAGTCTAAACTGTTGACATTCAAGTAAGTCACTTGTTTATCCTATTACAGTAGAGTTTTGCATTGATTGATCTCAGGATGGATGACATTAGTTATTTCACTATGATTCTATAAACACACACTCATGTTGTGATTTAACTAGTTTGAGTCAGCATTTCTGGATATCAGGAGACCCGAGTTAACATCGTATAATTTAAATGATGTACTTAACAACTAAATTGAATTTGGAAACATTTGCTGAATAACATGTGGATAAGTTCAACTAACAAGCATTACTGTAAACACTCAGAAATGTAAAGTAACTACTTCGTTTAGGTTTTCCGGTATTATTATGCATTTCGTAGCTCCATTTCAAAGTGGAATTTACTCACTGATTGTAGCACGATCATAGTTCCATACTAGAACGAAACGTCCGTCCAGTGTTTCCAGGTTTTCAATGGTGGTCTTACATTGATCGGTTTATGATCTCAATAAAAACTCAACACTCTTCATCATTGTATACTGAAAACAGTTAAGCCTATAATGACTAATATGTGTAGTGTTAATAAGTATATAGGTCACTCGAGATCGTGAGATCACTAATCTAGATTAAAATAAACAATGAAACTTCCCATATTTGTATACAAATGCAGACTAAATAAATACTTGAAAAATGTCTCATTTACTTATCAGAAAGGTCATTTAAAATAGTTGAAACGATTCATTACATGGGGTCAAGTTACAATCAATACAATATGATGATGTAAATTGTCTGGCGAAAGGATATAATAATAGTGTCATGTGAATATAATACGTAGTCAAATAGGTGTTGTCAGGGTGGTGATTCGAAATGATGAAGGAAATTTGCAAAATCAAATAAAGATTAGCCATGAAATTTCGGCAAATTTGAATCATGTTAAACAGTAAACAATAATGATGTATCAAGTTTACACTGCCCTGACAACAGGTCATAATCACTGAAAATGTAAGATCCATGCTTAACCAAAACACCTAAACAACATGTAAACCATTGATCCTTAATAATTTCATTCATAAGTTGTCTAGGGTGAATACTTTGATTTATTAAAGGATTAGCCGTACATAAGTTGTAATCAATCTTTAGTGTTCCAAAACACTGTAGCGGTAAATAAATCCCCGAAATCAATAGCTCTGCAAGTCTTCGACATTTGATGCTGATCACATTAGTTAACCTTTACTTCTTTTTTATAAAACATATTTCAATAAGTAAATGTATGACCATATTATTCAAAATAGATTGTGATAATATATTGCATAATTCTGATAATCTTCATTCAATTTCATTATCCAGCTTACAAATGATACAATGCCACTTCTCTACTTTTCCATCTATTTGTGATAGCTGTTTACAAGTAAAAAAATGTCAGGTGGTATGAAAATATACTAATGATTATTTTGATATGTCCTCCTGGGACAATTCTAGGGTTACTGCCAGTATCACGCCCGTATAAAGGATGAGAATTCTCGTAGAGAAGAACCTTGCAAAGAAAAACTAACCAGAAAAAAAAACAGTTTTAACCATTTCAACTCTAACCCAGGTGTTCGAGGGTTTTCATTTATGAGAGTTATGATACCTCACGATGAAAGCTGAGGTTCTTAACAAATCATAAGATCGATGGGTGAGACTATAATCCATGGACGACGTCTGAGCGACGCTAACGTGACTCCGAGAACATTCACCTTCTTACTGGGCTAAATGAAGTCTATGAACCAGTGTAAAGAATAGGGATTATGATTTCTAGTTGATGGTTATAGTTAGGAATTAGATTTAAGGTTTTCATCACGAACTGACATCAGCTAAAATGTCAAGTGAATGAGTAAATTTCGCAATTTTTATCTCAAATCTGATCGGTCCATCCTTGAACCTACTAGATATTAAAGCAGCGTAAACAGAAATCACAATGAATATTAGCTCACCAATAATGGGAGAAATCAATATGACCATCAGACGAATCAAGAGTGGGAAAGCAGCAGTACCAGATTGCATACAATCTGAATTACTGAAATCAGACATAGAAGTAACTGCTAAGATGCTCCAAATTTCGGAGGAAAAACAAGTACTGAGAGACTATTTATTTACATCCTATTTGAACACATAAATATTGGTACAAGAGGGCACCAAATATATATATGCACCACACAAAACAATGAGAATTTAAAAACAAGGAAAAAAAGGTAAAGAGCGTAAAAAAGAGCAATAACGAACAGATTGGTGTAAGGTAGTCTAATATTAATAATAGTAACAATGGGGGAACGGAAAGGTACAATCAGAAGAAATCTTTCAGTTAAGGAAGAAACAACCATTTTTTATGAAGCAAAAGAAGGTTACAGCAGGATCGCCACTGGCTTCTATTCTGAGCCATATCTGATAACGTCTCCAGCCACTGCGTAGCACCATCTCTCGGACCACAACCAGGGAGTCGTGAAGGACCAACACAAGCCAGTCCTTTGCAGCTTTCTTTCATCCCACGACACCATGTAATATACTGACCGCCTCTCCGCTTCTTCCAACCAGTCCCACAGTCGGCAAATAATGCACGACGTGGAATTCTCTGGGACGACATTCGTAGAACATGTCCAAGTAACCGAAGTCTGTGTTTCAAGATGGTGACACCAATTGCATTGTCGTTTCTGTGCCCGAACACACGATGCCGAACCTCTGCATTACTAACATGGTGTTGCCACTGGATGTCAGCAATCCTTCGGAGACAACGATGATCGAACACAGAGTCGTCTAACGTCCTCAACTCGAAGAGGCCAGGTTTCACAAGCATAGAGCAAAACTGCTCTCACCAACGCGTTGTAAATCCGACCTTTTACGGCCAGACTAACATCACGAAGGCGCCAAAGGTGGCTCAGAGTGGCATAAGCCACTCTGGCTTTCACTATATGTGCATTGATCTCATCACTCACACCCCCACCAGCACTCATACAGCTACTCAGATACACGAACTTCTCGACTACTTCCATCTGATCACTATCCAGGATGAATACAGGATTAGAATCCTGCCAGCCTTGTAGAAGTACTTTGCACTTCGAAGGTGTAAAGCACATACCATACCTACGGACACTGATTGCCAACTGATTAAGTGCGGATTGCATGGCTTGGGCTTATCGCACAGTAAGACAATATCATCCGC